CAGCCATCCTGATCGCCCCATGTCTCCCTCTGCTTATGGTTTTGGTATACGACATGCATATCCCTTCTTGTTTAATATTGAAAATTTTCTTTCAGGAGTTGTTATTAGCGCTCTAGAATTAATATTTCTTGCTAGGGAAGAAAAGAGAACTGTATTGTCCTTCCTCCCAATGTGAAAAATAAAGTAGGGAAGAGTCTAAATGATTTTTTTGGAGCGTCAATAACAACTTTCTCTTCTTTCCCGTCATTTTATGAAGCGATTTTTCATTATATTTGAAAACTTTGAAACTGTTTTGATGACCTTTCTCCTTGTTTCCCTACACTTTGTGGATAGACAGAGTATTTGGGTGGGACTGTCCCACGACGAAGGTGTATGATGAGGGAGCTAAAGAGGTTGTGCTTTCAGTCATCAACGGCATCAACTGTGAGTAGTCTTCTTATTAATCCTCATTTTCGGATATCTATGTGTGACAAAAATCTTATTTGTTTCGGTGATATATACGTGCTCAGCAACCATTTTTGCCTATGGACAAACAAGCAGTGGAAAAACATACACTATGAAAGGAATCACAGATTATGCAGTTGCAGACATCTATGACTACATTGAGAAAGTAAGTGATCATATTTTGTCTTCAATTCCAATTTATATCAAGCTGACTATGTTTTCTCCGACACGACATAAACCAATTTGTTTGTGTTTCAGCATAGTGATAGGGAATTTGTGTTGAAGTTCTCCGCCATGGAGATCTACAACGAAGCTGTCAGAGACCTCCTCAGCTCCGAGGGTGCTCAACTTAGGCTCCTAGACGATCCTGAGGTGAATACTGTATTCTCTTTATAAAGCGTATAATTCAGATGAATGTGTAGAAGGTTTTCTAATAATGCTACTCCGACAGAAAGGAACTGTTGTCGAGAAACTTTCAGAAGAGATTTTGAGAGACCGGAACCACCTAGAGGAACTTCTTTCCGTCTGTGAAGGTAAACACACTTGCATTATGTTTGTCTCGCAGGATTACAAAAAATACATGTTAGTTTTGTTTTCACAGATGGAAAATATATTCTTAAATTGGTACTTGATTCTTGCAGCTCAGAGGAAGATCGGAGAGACCTCTCTGAACGAAAACTAGCTCAAGATCACATCAGATTTTGCGACTGGTATGCTTGTCACTAAAGCAGTTACTTTCTATTTTGACATAAGAACTTGTTTGTAAATGTTTTTTTTCTTTTTGTTGAATTGACTGATTTAACAGACAATTGAAAGTTCCGCTCGAGAATATCTAGGCATTCAAAGTTCAAGCAAACTTGCAGCTACTGTGGTAAGGAAGTACTTATCTTTCCTTGCGAAGAAACATTTCCTTCATGAGGATCTAATACAATGGTATTATTAGCACTAAAAAATTTGACTCTCTGCGCAGAATTTTGTTGATCTTGCGGGCAGTGAGCGTGTTTCTCAAGCGTTATCAGCTGGTACGAGATTGAAAGAAGGTTGCCACATAAATCGAAGCTTACTGACCCTGGGAACTGTAATTCGCAAATTAAGGTTCAATATTTTTTCCATACACCAAGGGCTTGTTTTGTATAAATGTAAACTCGGTCATGTCTATTGACGACGTAGCAAATTATTTTCTTCGTTCGGGGTGGTTTGTACCAGCCGATTGAAAACGTTTTTTTTTTCTTATCTAACCTTTTTTAACCACTTTATGTTTTCTAATCAATTTAATGTCGTCATTGGATGCAGCAAGGGAAAGAATGGACACGTACCTTACAGAGATTCGAAGCTAACACGGATACTGCAAAACTCGTTGGGAGGCAATGCCAGGACAGCCATCATTTGCACTACTGAGCCCTGCACGAAGTCATGTTGAGCAATCGAAAAAACACACTCTTCTTTGCAAGTTGTGCAAAAGAGGTGACTACTAATGCAAAGGTCAATGTAGTAAGATCAGATAAGGCGTTGGTAAAGCAACTGCAGAAAGAATTAGCGAAAATGGAAGACGCGTTGAGGAGCTTAGCATCAAAGTCAATGCAAGAGAAAGAACTTCTGCTTGAACAGGTGATGGAGACTTCTGTGACTCATACATACACATAATTGCACATGCCACTTTCTCCTTTCCTAATCTTCTTATTAAATGTGAAATTTATGCAGATGAATAAAGAGATAAAGGAACTGACTCAGCAACGTGATCTTGCTCAATCTCGGGTTCAGAATTTGCTAGAATCAACAGGAGACGGCCAAGTTCCAAGAATAGGTGAAAATTCAGGAGCTGAGTCATTATCCGTGGGTGTAAAAGCAGATAACGCATCTGATATTACTGATAGACCTAGTTTTACTGGTTCCTACAAGCACAACCGTCAGCTTTCTGCGAGCTCTGAAGAAAATTTTCTGCTGGACAGTAGTGCTCCAGAGTTTGTTGGGCTTGATTCATTGCCGGATTGGGAGGATCTTGCAGAGTCTGCACATGTTGCGGAAAGATCTCATGCAGAATTTGAAGATATGTTGCGGAAATATCTCACGCAGAATGTGAAGATACTGCACAAAGATCTCGGGCAGAACCTGAAGATAAGTACACAACCGATGGAATCTGAAGATATTGCAGGCAAAGATGTCATGCAGAACCTGAAGATATTGCACAAAGATGTCCAACAGAATCTGAAGATATTGCACAAAGAAGTCAAGCAGAATCTGAAGTTCTTGCACAAAGAAGTCAAGTAGAATCTGAAGTTATTGCAGAAGCATCTTGTGCGGAATCTGAAGATAGCTGCAAGGAAATTAGATGCATATCAAGCATGGACCAGAACACTTTTGATTTGATTATAAGCGGTTCTGAAGAAAATGGAGGAAAACTTAGCCGCGACAGCTCCCATGCAGCAGACAGGAGACAAGGAGTTGAATAACGTTAATGCAGAGTATGAAGCGATGCGGAAAAAGATTCAGGAAATGCAAAGGACAATTAACAACCTTGTTAATCTTGCCCCAATTGGAACAATCTCCTTCGTCCTCTGAATCTAGCTCTGCAAGTATGAATTTGTCTAGAAGTCGCAGCTGCAGAGCGGTTATCATGAGTCCATCTTCTTTTGCGCCGTATGAGGCAGAACTAAACGAGAATACAACACCTGCTGAAGGTTTCCGACAGAGACCTTCCAGATCAAGGCAAGGTGCCCACGGTAGAAGTATATCTAGGGAAGATTTTCCAGCTTCTGTTGCAAGTGTTCCAATGGACACAGATGGCACCAGAGATCAGCCCAATGCAGAGGTTATTACACAGCAGAAATTTCCTCATAAGAAACAAAAAGTCTATCAGGGGGAGAACTCTCGATCCAAGCATGGTGGCTCCGCCGGAAAGTTACCAAGAAGAGATTCTGATCAAGATTCTATTTTGAGCGTTCATGTAGAGGCGGAGGAAAGCACGGAGGCAGCTAGTGCACAGGACATTTCTGAAGGCTGGCCTAGAAGTTCAAAAGGCTTGCGTTGGAAGCTATTTCATAAATCGAAGCAAGGTTCTGAAATTGGAAGCTCAACCAGAGCTAGTTCTCAATTAGAGTCAGTTTTGAGTGCTCCAGTGGCTTGGAAAGTTATCCCCAATGTCTCGGAATCTGACGTAGAGGATAATATGAGTGTTCTCAATTTCGCCAATGAACGAAAGGAAGACAAGTACGAGGTAACAGCCTCCCTCTTTCTTTCTTATCCTCTCTTTCTAACACAATGGTGCTTACTGGTTGGTTAGTGATTAATAAACATATCTTTCGAAGACACGAACTTTAATTGAGGGTGGTTATTGGTGACAGGCACAAAGAGGAGCAGGACGGAGGAGGCACAATCGTGCGGAACATCCTTTGAGAACCCCTTCTAATTGGCGCCTTGATTTCGAGACACAGAGAGGACTAATAATCGAGCTGTGGGAGGCTTGCTTTGTGCCATTGGTTCACAGGACACATTTCTTCATTCTTTACAAAGGTGATCCGTCTGATTTTCTCTACTTGGAGGTAGAGCTAAGAAGGTTGACGATTCTCAAGGACACCTTCTCTGAAGGAAGCAATCTTAAAATCCCGCCAAGCTCCCACACCGGCTGGAAGGTAGTATTTTGGATCATTTCAACAGCACACAAATTTCACATATTTGAAATTTTGATACTTCGAGCCTAACCGCATTAAAGCGGGAGATCTCCAACTTAAAATTTTGTTTTTCTTAATTTGTAATCGGAAACAGCATGAAGGCTCTTAAGCGAGAGAGAGAAATGTTGGCCAAGAAAGTGCCCGAAGAGGTTTCGCATCGACAAAGGAAAAAGAAAGGCTTTACCAGAAGTGGGGGATTAGGCTGAACACAAAGCAGAGGAGCCTGCAGTTGGCAAACTTGATATGGACGAGCACAATGGACATGGGGCACATCCGGGAGAGCGCCACCCTTGTTGCGAAGCTGGTTGGCCTTGTCGCGCCACTCGATGCTCCCAAGGAAATACTCGGGCTCAGCTTCTTATCTCGCCCTATAAACAAGAAATCCTCCATTTGGAGAGATTCCATGTCTACTCTATAGAACTCGGGCACCATTTAGACGAAGGTAACTCGTATAAATATTTTGTACAGAATATGATGTCTCACTCCAGCTCAGCTCGAAGTGGAGATACGCATTGTAAACTAAACGGAAATCTGTAGCCTTACTACTATGGTTCTTTGATTCCTTCCACTGTTAATATATGCTGGCAAACTGGGGAGGAGAAAAAGGAGGCAAGAGGGGTCTCCACAGCCGCGGTGGTAAATTGCAGGCACAGAAACAACAGTTATATCTCTCTGTTTTCGTGTTAAACATGATAGGCTCCAAAACCAGGCCGGGCTAAGAAGAAAGGTCGATTTCTGTAGCCAGGCCGACAAACTTCGTACTGATTTTGACTGATTATATGAACTCAATAAGCATTTTACCAATGAACCTTATTCTTCTATTATTTATTTATATGATGTATCCCTTGTTTTAACGATCGCAGATACTACGAGATTACAAAGAATAAATAGAAAAACAAGACAGCATTTACACCCGCGTCATCGTACTTTACAACGTTCTTTTAAGATTGGAGGACAGCTCCTTCACTGATCTTCCATCCCGAGCTCGAACAAGACATCACGTATCTTGTGGTATACGTTCTGCTGTTTGAGTCATTGTGCTCCGGATGGAGCACATCAGTTAACTGGGCCATCTCTTCAAGAGTTGCTTCCACCACAGCACGCTGCCCATGTCCAGCGATACAGTCACACTGTCGATGTTCAAGTTCAACAGGGTGTAGTCATATGACCAATTAAGCTGTGCAATCTCGGTTGCGCGATCTGTCCATATCTTCAACATCTCACCATCCAAAACCTGGCAGTTTTAACAATGTCAGGACATGCATCAAATTGGTGACTAGCTCAATGACATCGTTATTCATCCACAAAAACTAAAGAATTCCCTACCTCAGATAATTTTTCCAGAGAATGATTAGGTCCGAAAGCCGGAGATTTTATGTTCTGCCATTTGCGAACAAGACCTTCAGCTATTCTTGCATCCATTTTGGGTATTTCCTCTGCAGATTTTTCATCTCCTGGTAGCCCTGGCATGGTTATATGAATTAATTTTCATCCCCTTGCATCAAGAGTAAAGCGGCAAGCTTACGAAGTGAAATGGACCGACTCGAAGGAAGAAATATCCCAGTACTACTGGCTATTGAAAGATTCATCATAGCACTTTGACAAATAGCTAGCGAAATACTACCACGGGCTTTTCCGGTTGAGTGAAATAACATGTCATCAAGCATATTGAAGTGGAAAATGACAAGATATCAAAGTATTTTTCATGTTTCATAACTTAGTTGACGAAAATAAGGCTTTGTTAATCATTTTATTAATACTCTAGTGCAACGGTTAAAATCATACCTGCACATGTGACATCAGATGCAGTCACTGAGCTAAGTTCTTTATGCAGGTTGGACGGGTCCCTCCGAGCGGGTAAATACCTCAATCCAATCAACGTTGTCAGTCCAATTACCACACCAGCACACATAATCTTAACAGTTGCGTCTTTGATTTTGTCAGTCATCAATTCTTCTTCGCGTATTCCAACAGAACCATTTCTTCCAGAAACCTCACCTACATGGACAGATTCATCTCCTATCAGATTCTTCCAGAGGCTCTCCATTTTCCACAGGAAGAAATGGATAATTTCATTTCATTATCTTCTTGAGGCGTAAGATTCTCATCCCTGTGACCCGGAGGAAACACCTTCTGCAATGCCTGAATTGCGCTCACCTTGAAATTACCAAGAACTGCGGTAGCCTCAGCTCCAATATTCACTATGGCAGCAGCGGCAGCTAAGGGCGAACCATTAGTTCCTGTCCAGCCTCTCTAAGTATCTCAAGACTGTAGGATCGTCATAGTAATCTCCAAGTCTGAACTCTATATCTTTTGTGTCTCTAAACCTTGAGTTCTCCAAGACAAATTCTACAACAGATGGATTTCTATATAGTGAATTATCATTGTCTAGGCCCAACCATGAGCGACACTCATCAAGATCCCCAAGAAGAAGTGAACAGAGACCCCTCTCCTAAAGCAAAGTCTACCTCACTATAGATGTCGACAGAATGTCCTACAGCTGTTACTTTGGATTGCTGAAGTTTCTGGAACAGGTTATCAGCATCTTGAATGTGATGAGGCTTCTTAGCAACGAAGGCTTGAGCAACAAGCGCAAGTGCCACTCCCTAAACTTCGAAGCTTTCCAAAGCCCTCTCAAGCACTTCACAACCCCGAATAAATTCAGGCGGGGACAATTCCATTGCATCCCTCGACATGTCAACATAAGCAAGTGCCATGACCAAAACGACATCTTGCTTGAACGACTTGGGCAGCCTCTCTCTTAGCAAACTCTCCCCAATTTGAAGAACCAGCTCAGTCTTCCCAGCTTCTTGCAGCACGCACAGAGCTCCAGGAACCTACAAATAGCTCAACACAATAAAATACAGCCGCTCTCTGTTTGTTTACGGCAATGCAGTAATGCGGAGAAAAGCCAATGGAAAAAATTAAATTTTAATACCAAATTTTGCTTTATTTTATCTCAATTTTCACTTGGAAATCGTAGTAATGTAGATAAAACTAACTAGAATCAGAATTCAATACCACGTTTTCTTAATTTCTAAACAATGTCCATTACTTTCCTCAAGTTTCTCAGCAACCAAACAGAACACAACGAAGTGAAACCACAACAATTACCTTATCCCAAGGAACTTGAGTGATGATGGTTCCATCTTCGCCTTCGGCGAGGCCCTGGTTGTACTCTCTTCTGGAGGCGGGGTCGGCTAGGGTTTCGCAAGCGGCTAGAAGAATCTGCCTCCGGCTGAACAGCGCCTCCTGGGTGAAGCCGTACTGAGGCGGCTTGGAAGTCCTAGCCTCGTACGCCCTCCTTATACCGTCTCCGAGGAAATGCTGCTGGGCGCCCAGCACCTGGTAGAAGTCTATGGGGATGGACACGTGGCGCTCGGGGGGAGAAATTGGCGGTAGGCAGGTGGGGAGGAGCGAGAGTGGCGGTGGCGGAGGAGAGGGAAAGGTGGTCTGAGGATGAGTCGCCGAGGAATTGGAAGTCGGCGAGGAGGCGCTCGGCCCATTTGCTGGCGAAGCAGATGGTGGGATGGGGCTGTTGGGGTTTTCGGTGGCGGCGGAAAGGGAGGAGGCGGGGAGAGGAGAAGCCGATGCCGAAGTGTTGAGGGTCTCCATTGGAGAGTTTGACGCGTCTGCTTAAACCCTCTCAATCATTCCTGGGAGATTCATCCTTTTAACTCAACATGCCGAAATTAACATTTTGTAAACAACGAATCCGTTGTAGTCTAGTTGGTCAGGATATTCGGCTCTCACCCGAAAGACCCGGGTTCAAGTCCCGGCAACGGAATTTTATTTGTATACTTTTTGTCGTTTTTATTTTCATATGGGCTTCAGTTAAAGGCTCATTGAGAAGCTGCTCTCATTTCTGTAGCCCAAAAAATTATTGTGGATATAGGCCCAACTTCAAACATTATCAAGTGTTTTTTTTCTTCATAAAATATAGGCACTATTCTAAAAATCTCTGCCTATACCCCGTTTAGGCGCTAGGCGGCTAACCATCGTGCCGATTAATGTATAGGCGTTTGAAAATTAAGAAAGTGCTTCCAAACTTGCTGAGGTGCCCGCCCAGACCTGCCTAGACACATGCCTAGGTTGTAACTCACTTAAATAGAAAATAGACAAATTTCCTTTTGCATTTTATTGTTTCCAATAAATTGTAAGAAACTTATTGATCATTTAAATAAACACATATTATATGTTTACTCCTCATGTTTTCATTATGTTTCAATACTTCATAGTATATATGTCATTTTATTTTCTAGTTTATGATGAAATTATATATATTTTAAGTATAAACAAACACTTATTCACACGAAATACAATAGATTTACCGAAATATGCCTAGTCCGCTTAGGTGCTAAACCCCAGCCCGCCATCCGACTAGCACCCAGGGGCGGATCCACAGTGGGGTCGTCGGGGTCGCACGACCCCTTGGAAACCATGGAAACAACCTTGAAGCTCCCATACGCGACCTCTTGAAGCTGGGGTCGTCGGGGTCGGAGTCGCACGCCAAGTGTTCGACAAAAATCCTGAACGAAGCTCGGCACTGCAGGAAGAGGAAGAAGAAGTTGCGCGCTTCTTTTTTTTCAAAACATACGGGCTAAACGGCGTCGTTTTGGCCCAGGTCTGAACAAAAAACAAATGCCCAGCGTGTCCTGGGCAGGTCTGAACAAAAAAAAATACCCAATGTGTCCTATCAGCCCTATTTTGCACAGATCCGAATCCCTTCTTTCTAAAACCCCCAAATTTCTTTTGTTTTCTCCTCCTCCTCCAACCCTAATTCATATTTATTTTGATTATGTTGGTGGTTTGTTTATATTGTGAGTATTTATTTTGAATATTTTGTATATGTAGAATATATTTAATTTAATTGAAATTCAATTCATATTTATTTTGATTATATTGATGATTTGTTTATATTGTGAGTTTTTTCATTTTAACACCAATTATTTTGTTAAAAATTATTAAAAAAATTTAGTATTGTTCCATGCACAGATTAATTCGACACTGCACCAAACGCCCGACTAATGTAGTTAGTACTATCCGACGACTATTTATCCTATCCGACTGAAATAGTCAGTACAGTCCGAAGTACCAAACGAGGCTAAAAAAAAAATTTCGCGCTGCGCGCGCTATGACCCCACAAACATTATTTCCTGGATCCGCCACTGCTAGCACCTATCGCCTTTTATAACCTTGAATACATATAATCTTCTATGTTAAATTATATCGTATGAAAGAGAGATTCAAATACGAATGACATGAAAGCGCAATTGTAACTACTAATTTAAGCTTATTCCATATTCATAGCCGTGACATATTTTTTGTCTGATTATGTGAATAATATAATATTAGTTTAAAATATGATAGTTATTCAATAATCTTAACTAAAATAAATAGGTCACGGCTGCGGAATAAGTTGAAGAAGAAAAAAATGCAAGGGCTACGTACGAAGTAGGAAAAATACTTACTTTGTCCGTTTCTCTCGTGACGTGAATAAAGAAATTCATAACAGAAACGTTATCCTTAATCCGTCATATAATTGGCGGGATTCCACGTCCACTTGTACAATAAAATAAATTAAAAATCGTTTTCCCAGGAAACCAGTCAACGTGTCTTTTGGGGTGAAATTATCAAACTCCACATTGACAAAAACTCAGAGAAGTTCGTGATTCAGGGGCCCAGCATGGGCCATGGCCCATTAGAATTAAGAAAAGCGCAGAAACAGAAAGACCAATGAAAAGTGAGTTATTCCTTAAAAAAATGTGTAATGTGATATCATGACGTGTTAAATATTTCAATGTGATGGTCACATTGTCCCGCTATACTCTTATTTTGTGAGTTATAATATGTGTGAGCCACATTGATAAATAAATATATGTAATAAGGTACACATCTCTTGCTTTTAAGTATAAAGAGAAATGTTAAATATATTCTTTCAAAATATAACTTTTATGAATTATTTATCATTTCACAGTTTATTGATAATTCTTATATCAACATTGTAAAATATTATGTTAAAAACATAAGGTCACAGCGAGTTCATGAAGATTTTTACTGTTGAGAGAATCTCCTTAGTTACACATCACTCACTTTTACACATCATATAAATTCTAATGCCTGTTGGCGGACTACGTGGCAAGTCCGGCTCACGAATTACCTAGTCGTCTCATATTTGGGTATTACCCGGCCTTGCAGGGGCTCCATTTATGTGAGAGAATGCCGGACCACGGACGGCCGTATGTAAGAACCTCGCCGGAAAGAGACTTTCTGCGGTCATTTTCACAAATTAAAAAGGTTTAATATTTTTTGGTCAATTTAAAAAAGGTTTCTTTTAGATTATAGCTTTTGGGGAAACGGGAAAAACAAAAAATAAAAAATCCACAGCGATAGTGGTAGGGAACGCAAACGCAGATACACAAATTAGTTGCCCTCCAAGCGCAGCATATGGCGTCGTTTCTCTCAAAACCCCTTTCCCTTCCGTTTCTTCACACGCTCCTCCCACCCCACCACAAACCCAGCACTCCTACCACTGCCACCAAAAACACCCAACAATTAACACAAAATTGAAACTATATACCCAGCACATTCTGCGTTCCACTATTCTCTCTGACCTCACCGCATACCCAGCACTACTCATGGCAACGGCTACTTTCTACTTCCTCTTCATCGTAGCATTTGCTGTTCCCTTTTGCTTCGCCGCCGCTTTAACACCCGCTCAACGGCAAGCATCATTACCGGAGATCCAAGCGTTAACGGCGTTTAAGAGCAACCTCTACGACCCGCTTGGCGCGCTGGACGGCTGGGATGCGTCCACGCCGTCAGCCCCGTGCGACTGGCGTGGCGTTGGCTGTGAAGATAACCGAGTTCAGGAGCTCCGCCTGCCTCGTCTCCACCTCGGCGGCCGAATTACTGACCACCTCGCCGACCTACGCGACCTCCGCAAGCTCAGCCTCCACAGCAACAACCTCAACGGCTCTATACCTTCCTCTCTCTCCCAATGCGCTTTGTTACGCGTCCTTTACTTGCACGGAAACTCCCTCTCCGGGACTCTCCCGCCGGCGATTTTCAACCTCACCAACCTCCAAATCCTCAACGTCGCTCACAACTTCCTCTCCGGAAAAATCTCCGGCGACATTCCGGTGAGCCTTCGGTTCCTCGACCTTTCATCGAACACATTCTCCGGGGAGATTCCGGCGAATTTCTCCGCCGACTCAAGCCTCCAGCTTGTCAACCTCTCGTTCAATCGGTTCTCCGGCGTGGTTCCGGCGACCATCGGAGGTCTCAAGAATCTTGAATATCTGTGGTTTGACTCGAACCAGCTGTATGGCACTCTGCCCTCGGCGATTTCCAACTGCTCGTCGCTCGTGCATTTGAGCGCCGACGACAACTCGCTGAGAGGTTTGGTTCCGACGACGATCGGAGCGATGCCGAAGCTTCAGGTGGTGTCGCTGTCATGGAACGAGCTGTCAGGGTCTGTCCCCACGTCGTTGTTGTGCAGTACTGCTAACAACGACTCGTCGTTGAGGATCGTGGAGCTCGGATTCAATGCGCTCACGAGCATTGCTGAGCCGCCAGATATCTCAAAATGTTCGAGTATATTGGGGGTTCTGGACTTAAAATCCAATCGGATAAGTGGTCCGTTCCCTTCTTGGTTGACAAACGTGACAACAATTATGAGAGTTCTAGATCTTTCTGGAAACATGTTGTCGGGTCAACTGCCGGCGGAGATTGGCAATCTTCTCCGGTTGGAGGAGTTTCGGGCGGCAAATAATTCGCTGAGTGGTGAACTTCCCAATGAGATTGTGAAATGTAGTTTGTTACAGGTCCTTGATGTTGAAGGAAACAGATTTTTGGGTCAAGTTCCTTTGTTTTTGGGAGGAATGAGGAGCTTGAAGGTGTTGTCTTTGGGTAGGAATTTATTCTCCGGCGACATTCCAGCGAGTTTAGGAGCGCTTTCGCAGCTCGAATCCTTGAATTTGAGCAACAATAATCTGACCGGGAAAGTTCCAGATGAGCTCATGATGCAGCTAAGCAACTTGACAAGTTTGAATCTGAGTAACAACAGATTTTCTGGTGAGATTATTAATGTTGGAGATTTGAAGAGCTTGCAGGTTTTGAATTTGAGCAATTGCGGGTTTTCGGGGAGTGTTCCTGCCAGCGTTGGTGGTTTGATGAAGCTTGAAACACTGGATTTGAGCAAGCAGAAGCTTTCCGGGGAGTTGCCGGTTCAGATTTTCGGGTTGCCAAATTTACAAGTGGTTGCTCTGCAGGAAAATCACTTATCTGGAGATGTCCCTCAAGGTTTTAGTAGCTTGATTAGTTTGATCTATCTAAACATGTCTTCCAATGCCTTTACTGGTGTTATTCCCACCACTTATGGATTTCTCAACTCATTACTTGTTCTATCATTGTCTGGAAATCGCATTTCGGGCACAATCCCACAAGAGCTTGGAGATGGTTTGAATCTTCGAGTGCTCGAGCTTCGTTCTAATCAATTAGGAGGCGAAATTCCAGCCGATATCTCTCGCCTATCCAATTTGAAAGAGCTCAATGTAGGTCACAATAAGTTGACAGGTGAAATCCCAGAGGAGATTTCCAACTGCTCCTCTCTGACTTCTCTGTTGTTAGATGGGAATCAACTTTCGGGTCAAATACCAAACTCATTGCCTAAGTTATTGAACCTCACAGTGTTAGATCTTTCCTCTAACAGGCTGAGCGGCGCCATCCCAGATAATCTTTGGCTCCTCGTCCCTCACTTGAAATACCTGAATTTGTCAAACAACAACCTTGCTGGAGAGATTCCAAAGCCGCTGGGTTCCCAGTTCAACGATCCTTCTGTGTTTGCAATGAACAGAGATTTATGTGGGAAGCCGTTGAATAGAGAATGTGCAGATGTGAGAAGGAGAAAAAGGAATAGGTTGATTTTATTAATTGGGGTGGCTGTGGCAGGAGCTTTGCTTCTGGCATTGTGTTGTTGTGGCTACGTTTACAGCCTCTTGCGATGGCGGAAAAAGCTTAGAGAAATGGTAACCGGGCCCCAAAAGAAGCGAACAAGCCCTCGAGGAAGCTCAGGAGACAGGAGCCGGGGAAGTGGAGAAAATGGAGGGCCAAAACTTGTAATGTTCACCAGCAAGATCACGTATGCGGAGGCATTAGAAGCAACAAGACAATTCGATGAGGAAAATGTGCTAAGCAGGGGAAGATATGGACCTGTATTCAAGGCTACATTCCAAGATGGAATGGTGCTTTCAATACGGCGTCTTCCTGATGGATTCCTCGATGAAGGCGGTTTTCGCAAAGAAGCTGAAGCTCTTGGCAAGGTGAAGCATCGAAACCTAACAGTCCTCCGAGGCTACTACGCAGGTCCTCCCGACGTGAGGCTCCTCGTGTACGATTACATGCCAAATGGAAACTTAGGCACTCTTCTCCAAGAGGCATCTCACCAAGACGGGCACGTCCTAAATTGGCCAATGCGGCACCTCATTGCGCTCGGCATTGCCCGCGGATTAGCATTTCTCCACTCCATGTCAATCGTACACGGTGATGTAAAGCCACAAAACGTTCTTTTCGATGCTGATTTCGAAGCGCATTTGTCCGAATTTGGACTAGACCGGCTAACCATAGCCACACCAGCAGAAGCTTCATCGTCTACTACGCCGATCGGGTCCTTAGGCTACGTATCCCCTGAAGCTGCATTGACGGGGCAAGCGACGAAAGAAGCCGACGTGTACAGTTTCGGGATTGTATTGTTGGAGATTTTAACCGGGAGGAAGCCGGTGATGTTTACACAAGACGAAGACATTGTCAAGTGGGTGAAGAAGCAGCTGCAGAGTGGTCAAGTTTCCGAGCTGCTCGAGCCCGGGCTGCTCGAAATTGACCCCGAATCGTCGGATTGGGAAGAGTTCTTGCTCGGAGTGAAAGTGGGGCTTCTTTGCACGGCTCCTGATCCGCTTGATCGGCCGTTGATTGCCGACATTGTGTTCATGCTTGAAGGTTGCAGGGTCGCACAGGATATTCCGTCCTCAGCTGATCCCACCTCTCTGCCTTCACCGGTCTAATTTTTAATTTAATTTTTTAATTTTAACAAATCACTATCCTCAATCATCATCGTCTTCATTTCTGCAGTTGTATGTACTTATTGGTTTGCCCTTTATTCCTCTCTTTTCCTGCTTTTGCTCAATTTCATAACTTGCACCTGACAGCGCCGAAAGACTTAATCTAAGTTCTCCTGAATCATGGACGTTAAAGAATGTTAAGGCCAAAGTGTTCGTAACTATTTGCCTCGCTACGTGTTTAACTTTGCATCACATAGTTTATTTGAGACGGTATCACTTTAACGTCTATGTTTTCTCGTATGTTTTGAGATAGTTATTTTTGGCAAACAAATATTAGTACGTAAGGGGAGAATTTGACTACGACGGATATGCTACGGTGGTGAAATCTAAGTTAGTTCTTAATGACCACTTCAAATATTTAAGCAGAACATCATTCAATTTCATAGTAGTGGCTTGGTGTAGGTTAAGGTATATTTCTTAGGAAAACTAATGAAAATTTCAAAAAAAAAATTAGTTTGAATGAAAAATGACAAATAAAGATGTAGTGAATAGTACCAGAGACGGGTAAAAATATGTTTTTTTCGTTAAAAGCAAACAGTACCGGAAATATTTTGTTAAAACTTTCTTATTTCTTTTCTGTAGTTATTCTAATTCCCGCCAAATGACAAATTCTCAATCGGGTGCCACGTGTCGAGCCCTGAAGACAGGTGAAAGTAGCCGTTAAGATACGACGTCTCCCTTCAGGGCATAGGCGTCTTTATCGGAAAAAGAGATGCAGAGGCGTCGGGACCCACGGAAGTGTCGGACCCCTACGCTAATCAGATTCTTTGGGCATTGCACGTCGGATTTTAGTCGATAAAGTGTTGACCATCACGTGGTCCCTGACCGGTCCAAAGAGCATTCGATGTGAACCGACACTGACCTTTTCCTTCGATATTTTTTTTAGAGATGTGATATCCACACATTCATTTTCTTCTCCCACATCTTTTTTATTTTTGACCGTTGGATCGGATGAATTGAAGACGATCAAATGACAGAAATTAACAAAGGGTGTGTGAAAAGTAAAAAAAAATGTGTGGATAACACATCTTTTTTTTTATTATACTTTATTTCCTAAATTCTTTGCCATCTTATATCAAACGAATTCATCTAAACACATTTTTATATAAGTTATTCTCTGATAAAATGCTCTCGTCTATAATTCACCCCATGCAACAAACATCTAATATGCATGTGTGACTTTAACGCTAAGACCATCTCCAACCCTTGGCTTAAAATTTAAAATTTTTAGTCTAGAAATTTAGATTTTAACCCAAAAATAGTTTTTCTGCTTCAACCCGTATGGTCTAAAATTTTAACACTAGATTATTAAAGAAAGAATTTAGACTATTTTTTTTTTCTTAAAGTAACTTTAAAAAATATATATATGCAGGCGATCTTAATTTAATTTTATGAACATTTTAACTTAAAAATATTTAGATTATGATAAATACTGAAAAATCACTAATCGACACCATGAAACTCGTTAAACACTATGAAAAAATATGAAACAAATTAAAGATTTTTTTTAATTACTTTAGCCGTTAGAGTTAAATTTGGACTGTTAAATTTTTTTTTTTACCATTGAATTTCATAAAATTAGATCTTAACTATTGGATTTAATGAATTTAAAAATAAAAATCTTGTTTGTAAGAGAAAATTTCTGGTGATTGAAACAGTTGTAAGCAATAATAGGACTGGCACATGGAAAACTGTGTGGTTGTTGTGGATCCCACAACTGCATCAGACTGCGACATCACCACTGAGTAATAAGAACAAAGAACAGAGATGATAATAGAGAGGTTGCAGAGTACGTGACCAAGTGAAAAAAGTGAAAGGGATGGTTAAAATGAAGGTGAATTTCATTGAGGATGGGCATGCACGATGGATGTATAACAAATATCAAATGAAAGTCGACAACACATTTAATCGGGTCATGAAAAACGAACAGACCATCGAACAAACTTTTCACTGTATTCAATTGCATGACATGTCGTTCTCACTTCCATTGCAATTGCATGCATTTCATAACTCGCTCGTGCCATTCAGAGGCTACCAATACCACCATCTATTACGAGAGAAATTTTCATGTATCGTTTGTTGTATACCTATTATTTTATATCTTTTGTCGTTTGTTTTGACGGAAGTGATTTGAATGACATGAATGACTTGAATAAGTTATTATTGCTCCCTTCCAGGTCATTATTGGCATCTAATTCACAAATGCATTGTAATCGGGTATTGACCCAACATGACTATGTGCAATACTACTAAATACAAAAACACATTAAGCAAGTGTTGACTTCATATTTATAATCCCATCTTTTGAAGAAAAAAAACTTGAGTACGGGAGCTTGACTAGCTAGAACCGTCTGCATTGAAAATTGCAGCCTATTTGAAGTCGAAAGGTAACAAAATACAACCTATGTGCAATGTTTGTATTAGCAAACCATGGTGTAAATCATCCCTCAGTTTTTCCTATAGGCATTTAAGCATACAAGTGTAACAAAGATACAATTCAAAAATTCAAAGATTTGATGCGTGAGGACTCTTACTGATTAGTGCACTATTTATAACGTATGCGTGCAACTTACATCAACAATCCGTTGTAGTCTAGTTGGTCAGGATATTCGGCTCTCACCCGAAAGACCCGGGTTCAAGTCCCGGCAACGGAAACATTATTATTTTTTTTTATAACTTTTTGCTTTTGGGTGTTTAATTTCATATGGGCCTATGGCCAATGGCCCAATTTCTTACATTACCAAGCCCTTACTTTTATTTTTGGTTTCATAATTTCATATGGGCTTATGCCAAAGGCCCAATTTCTTACATTACAAGCCCATATTTTTATCTTTGGTTCCATTTTTCAACTGATTACTTGCTCCTTCCTCCTTCCCATTCTCATAGTGTGTGCCTCACGTCAGTCAAAGGAAAATAATTTCCGCATACCTGTTTCCTCCATGATTCTCTTTTAATTGATTTAATTTCAATTTAAAGACTAGAAAAAATTCAGAGATTGCATGTGTAGAAAAAAGTGTGCGGATATCATTCTCCTCAGACAAATGTCAAGGTCTGAGTGAATTAGAGGCAAATAAGGGTAAAGTCTATGAGAGTGACATGTCTTTGCAATTGAATAGTGAGTGGTACTTCCTGCTCCTTTACTTTAGTGGTCTGTTCGTTTTCATGATATTTTATAGGGTCCATTTAGACCACATTGAACTAACTTGCTAATAGAAATAAAACCGACTTTTTTTTAAAAAAACTTCAAAAGGAGATCAGCTGTAATTTTGCCATGCTTGTCCACTCTTTCAAAGATAAAAAAGACTCGCAAAAGATTTTGGTCTACCTGGCCACTAAAATAAGGGAAAGGATCCTCTCTGGATTCCTTCCAGTCGGATCCTCAAGATCTCAAAAATTACTTGCAAGGCTTGCCTCCAACAGAGTCGGATCCCTTCGGTTCGATTTTCTTTTGAACGGATAGAATTGAAGGATCCTCTAAATTTAGATGAAAGAGATCCGAAGATAATCATTTCCTTTTTTTTTTTGTCAAATAATAAATTTTGTTCGATTAGATGTTAAATTAGTCATCAACGAAGTTTAAACTTATATTGTAATGTAAGAACTCAACTTTTTTCCACCATTGTGGTAAAATATTATTTGCCAAAATAAAACGCACTTGGTCACATCAATGCTGTTGGAAGAGATAAGGGACCACGTGCTGGCAGCAACATAAAAAAAAAAAAAAAAAACCACGTGCCGGTTAACAATATCCTAATAATATCCGACGTGCAAGCAAGGCCCAAAGAATCTGATTAAGGGACCACGTGCCTAGCGAACGTTCTATCTTAACGGCTACTTTCACCTCTCTATAGGACTAGCCACGTGCTTCACCCCAAATGAGCTAACTTACACACCCAATCATACACAGATTCGGTGAGTCCCATGCCCAGTAGCGGAGGGAAAGGGGGGTCAATGGGTTCACATGACCCCAACAACTCTATATTACTCCACACTATATTTTTTCTATTGATCCCAATACCCCAATAACAACTTCCAATAATTAAGTTCAGCATTTGCTTACACACTTTATATTTATGAACACATTTTTTTTAAATGAGAAGGAGTGAGGGAGAGAGAGAGAGAGAGAACGTGTGGGGGGGAGTGAGAGGTTTTTGTTTTTGTTTTTTATTTTTTATTTTAAATATTAGAGGTATTTTAACATCACCTGTAGGTGAAACTTCAATAAAAAGAAGTAAAATTTAGACCTGTGAAATTACATTATTGCTCACATTTTTTTTGTATGATAGAAGATTAAATAGTCTTTTCACTGTCTTTTGGTTGACAAAGAGGATTTCATTAATTAATAGAGATGTATGCATGCTTGCTTTAATTTTCATTATTTATTAAAACACTATATTAATCAACAGTATTTCATAGTGAGTTCAATGAATTAAAAAGATTGATCAATAATCTTGCACAAAAGTTGGTGTATTTGCTTATGGCAGCCAAATTCCTACCTCAGCCACTGCCCATGCCAATATTGTTCTATACCAATAATACATGTGTGAAGCATACGTTGTAACACCAACACTAATAGTATTACCTGTACATGTAAATCACTCTCATGTTTAAAATAAAAAATTTACCCCCGTTAGCATTAGGAAAGTTGATAGCTTCATCACGATAGTCCATATTTTCAAAAACAGAGAAGCCTTGTAGAGAAATTTCAGCCTCTCTTAAGCCACTACTGCTAGATTCATGAGCGCTAATAACTTGTGTGAATACGGGAAATAAATCTATTCCTTCAAAAATTTGAAATCTTACTTTGGATCTAAGCTCAATAGAATAAAAAATAAAAAAAAAAGAACTTTAACGAAAAACTCTCAGTACTGTTCACTTTAACGAAAAACCACATTTTTACACTAAAAAGTCAATCCTGTTACTATTCAGTTTACCTTTTATTTTGTCATTATCATTAAAACTCAAAGTTTTCAAACCCTTTTAATTAGTTTTCCTAAAAAAAATGAAGTGGTCCCATGGCGCAGTTAGGTCATAGTTAATTGAGCAAAATTAGGAAAAACACAAGAATAAAGGCCAAACATATGGTAGAAAATGAATTAATCAAAAACCTAAAACTGCGGGAACGAAGATAATGTAGTCTTTTTTTTTTTTTTTAATAAAACTGAGATTGAAAATTAGGCTGGTGAAGGCAGAGAGGTCGGATCAGCTGAGGACGGGATGTCGGGTCCGACTCTGCAACCTTCAAGCATGAACACAATGTCGGCAATGGATGGCCGATCAAGCGGATCAGGAGCCGTGCAAAGAAGCCCCACTTTCACTCCCAACAAGAACTCTTCCCAATCCGAAGATTCCGGGTCTAGTTCCAGCAGCCCGGGCTCCAGCAGCTCAGAAACTTGACCTCTCTGAAGTTGCTTCTTCACCCACTTCACAATGTCTTCGTCTTGAGTAAATGTCACCGGATTCCTCCCGGTCAATATCTCCAGCAATACGATCCCAAAACTATACACATCGGCTTCTTTCGTTGCTTGCCCTGTTAATGCAGCTTCGGGGGACACATAGCCTAGGGAGCCAATAGCGGTTGAAGACGAGGATGCTTTTGCTGGTGTGGCTATGGTTAGCCGGTCTAGACCAAATTCGGATAAATGGGCTTCGAAATCAGCATCGAAAAGAACATTTTGAGGCTTTACATCGCCGTGTACCATTGAGGCAGAGTGCAGGTAGGCTAATCCACGAGCAATGCCGAGTGCTATGAGGTGCCGCATTGGCCAATTTAATACATGCCCGTCTTGGTGAGATGCCTCTTGTAGAAGGGCGCCTAAGTTTCCATTCGGCATGTAATCGTACACAAGGAGCCTCACGTCAGGAGCACCGGCATAATAGCCTCGTAGAACTGTCAGGTTTCGATGCTTCACCTTGCCAAGATCTTCAGCTTCTTTGCGGAAGCCACCTTCATCAAGAAAACCATCAGTAAGACGTCGAATTGCGAGCACCATTCCATCTTGAAACATAGCCTTGAATACCAATCCATATCTTCCCTCTGCTAAGCACATTTTCCTCATCGAATTGTCTTGTAGCTTCTAATGCCTCTGCATACGTGATCTTGCTATTGAACATCACGAGTTTTGGCCCTCCATTAGCGCCACTTCCCCGGCTGCTTTTATCCCCTGAGCTTGTTCGAGGGCTAGTTCGCTTCTTCTGCACCCCAATTACTGTTTCTCTGAGCTTTTTCCGCCATCGCAGTAGGCTGTAAATATAGCCACAACAACACAATGCCAGCAGGAAAGCTCCACCCACAGCCACCGCAATTAATAAAGTCAACCTGTTTCTTTTTCTCCTTCTCACATCTGCACATTCTCTATCCAATGGCTTCCCACATAAATCTCCATTCCTTGCAAACACAGAAGGATCATTGAACTGAGAACCGAGTGGCTTCGGTATCTCTCCAGCAAGGTTGTTGTATGACAAATTCAGGTATTTCAAGTTAGGGACGAGGAGCGACAGACTTTCAGGGATGGTGCCACTCAGATTGTTAGAAGAAAGATCTAACGGCTGTGAGGTTCAATAACTTAGGCAATGAGTTTGGTATGTGACCTGAAAGTTGATTCGCATCTAACAACAGAGAAGTCAGAGAAGAGCATTTTGAAATCTCCTCTGGGATTTTGCCGGTCAGCTTATTCTGACCTACATTGAGTTCTTTCAAATTGGACAGGTGAGATATATCACCTGGAATTTTGCCTTCTAATTGATTAGAGCGAAGCTCAAGTACCTGAAGATTCAAACAATCTCCAAGCTCTTGTGGGATTGTACCCGAAATACGATTTCCAGACAAAGATAGAACAAGTAAAGAGTTGAGAAATCCGTAAGTGGTAGGAATATCACCAGTAAAAGCATTGGAAGATAGGTTAAGATAGATCAAACTAATCAAGCTACTAAAACCTTGAGGGACATCTCCTGATAAGTGATTTTCCTGCACAGCAACAACTTGTAAATTTGGCAACCCGAAAATCTGAATCGGCAACTCCCCAGAAAGCTTCTGTTTACTCAAATCCAGTGTTTCAAGCTTCATCAAACCGCCAATGCTTGCAGGAACACTTCCAGAAAACTCACAATTGCTCAAATTCAAAACCTGCAAGCTTTTCAGCTCTCCAACATTAATAATCTCACCGGAAAACTTGTTATTACTCAGATTCAAACTAGTCAAGTTGCTTAGCTGCATCGTGAGCTCATCTGGAACTTTCCCAGTCAGATTATTGTTGCTCAAATCCAAAGATTCGAGCTTTGAAAGTGCCCCTAAATTTGACGGAATGGCACCAGAGAATAAATTCCCACCCAAAGACAACACCTTCAAGCTCCTCATTCCTCCTAAAAAAGAAGGGACTTGACCCAAAAATCTGTTTCCTTCAACATCAAGGACCTGTAACAAACTACATTTCACAATCTCACCGGGAATTTCACCACTCAGCGAATTATTCGCCACCCGAAACTCCTCCAACTGGAGAAGATTGCCAATCTTCGCCGGCAATTGACCCGAAAACATGTTTCCAGAAAGATCTAGAATTCTCATAATTGTTGTCACGTTTGTCAACCAAGATGGGAAGGGGCCACTTATCCGATTGGATTTTAAGTCCAAAACCCCCATTGCACTCGAACATTTTGAGATATCTGGCGGCTGAGCCATGCTCGTGAGTGCATTGAATCCGAGCTCCACAATCCTCAACGACGAGTCGTTGTTTGCAGTACTGCACAACAACGACGCGGGGACCGCTCCTGACAGGTTGTTCCGCGACAGCGACAACACCTGAAGCTTTGGCATCGCTCCGATCGTCGTCGGAATCAGACCTCTCAGCTCGTTGTCGTCCGCGCTCAAATGCACTAGCGACGAGCAATTGGAAATCGCCGACGGCAGAGTACCGTGCAGCTGGTTCGAGTCCAGCCACAGATACTCAAGATTCTTGAGACCTCCGATGGTCGCCGGAACCCCGCCGGAGAACCGATTGAACGAGAGATTGATCAGCTGGAGGCTTGATTCGGCAGATAAGTTCGCCGGAATTTCACCGGAGAATGTGTTCGAGGAGAGGTCAAGGTACCAGAGGCTCACCGGAATGTCGCCGGATATTTTTCCGGAGAGGAAATTATGGGCGACATTAAGGATTTGGAGGTTGGTGAGGTTCAAAATCGCCGGCGGAAGAGTCCCGGTGAGCGAGTTGCCATGCAGGTACATGGCCCGTAACAGAGCGCATTGCGAGAGAGAGGGAGGTATAGAGCCGTTGAAGTTGTTGCTGTAGAGGCTGAGCTTGCGGAGGTCGCGGAGGCTGGCGAGGTGGTCAGTGATTCTTCCGCCGAGGTGGAGACGAGGCAGGCGGAGTTCCTGAACTCGGTTGCTGTAACAGACGACGCCGCGCCAGTCGCACGGGGCTGACGGCGTGGACGAATCCCAGCCGTCGAGAGCGCCAAGAGGGTCGTGGAGGTTACGCTTAAACGCCGTTAACGCTTGGATCTCGGAGAGTGACGTTTCTGGACTCGGCCGTTGAGCCGCCGTTAAGGTGGCGGGAAAATAAATTGTAGGAATAACAATTGTTATGAGGAAAAGGAAGAAGTAAGTGGCCGTCGCCATGAGAGAGGTCAAAGAGAGAGAGCACTGGAAAGCAAAATGGGCTGGGTTTATATACTAATTATGCTGAGTGTGGGGTGCATGCTGCTGGGTTTGCGGTGGGGTTTTGTGGCGGTGGTGGGAGGAGCTAGATCGAGAAAGACGGAGTCGGATCGAGAGGCCGCCATTGTCGCAGATGAGAAAGCGAAGAAGATCTGCTCAGAGGAAACAGATGGCGGAGTGAAAGAGGGACAGATTTAGGGTTTCTAACTTCCGTGTGAGGCTGTGAGCTGCTGAGTGATACTAATGACTGAAGTGGTGGTGTGTTATGGTGTGGCCAGATGTACGGGAAGTTCATAACCACGCAAATGGACTGATGCCACGTGGAAAGGTCGTACTTGGTTCGCTGTTGGAGTCAAAAAGTTTGAATCTCGAACAAGCTGATAGTCTCTTTTGGGTGAAGTCTTGCGTACTTTTGGACGAAGATTGCGACAAAAAAAGGGAAAAGCAAATCTCAGGACTCCCCTTTTTATTTATTTATTTATTTTCTTTTTAGTTTGAATAAAAAAAAGGAGGAGAGAGAAAAATGGGTATAATAATTGGAGGAGGCCCCACGAAAAAGGTCAATGATGTTGTCCATGACGACTCTGGGAAAATATGGGGAAGATGGCGATTGGCGGGAGAAAATTTCAAATGTGCATTTAATTGCGACGGTATTCCAACTCAATCAAATAGTATTTTATGTGTTGAATTATAACATGGCAACCGATATGGTGGGTTTTAAGGGGAAACGACTTACGCTCCCTCTCTATTCTTTATACTCCTTGTATTTCTACTTCTACTCGCATGATCGAATAACTTAACTATGAAATAAGAGATAAAAACAAACAGGATAGTGAGAGAATCATTTCTATCTTGATCGGTTTGGAATACCATCATAGTTGCTTTGCGGTTAGAGGTAAGTTGGAATAACTCCACAGGTGCTTATGGCCTTTAACTCTCACTCCCACCGTAATGAAAACAACAAAATACAGGTTCAAAAAAATAAATAAATAAATAAAAAGAACTTGAAAACTTTGAGTTTTAACGATAAGAATAAAATAAAGAGGTAAAGTGAATAGTACCAGAATTGACTAAATGTAAAAAGGGGTTTTTTATTAAAGTAAACAGTACCTGGAGTTTTTTTGTTAAAATTCCTTTAAAAAAATGATGGTAAAAGTGAATCTTCCCTCAATTTCCTTTATTAATGTACGGATCTTACACTAAGAGGTAGGAATTTATGCATACAAAGAGTATCAAAGATACAGAGACTACTAGTTGGACTGTCTAATTTGTACAGAAATAAAAGGAAACGACGACTAAGTACACTTTTCAGGCAGATGTCAAACCTTGGGGAAAGGATTCAACCTCAGGGTCCTGCGAAAGAAATCTCCGGCAAGCGTAAAAAACAGCTGAATGGAATCGTTCGGGTTGGTCTATGAATACAAAGTGCCCAGCCTGCAATTTTTTATCAGGAAAACCTTATTCATCGAGATCAAAAAAATGAATTAATGACAAGAACTTTGTGGATAAATAGAAGGCAGAGAGAAACATACATCCGGAATCCTAATGATCTCACATGGGACCTTCATTTTTTTGCCAGCTTCTTGAGCCCCTTGGTAGTTCATCCAGTCTTGATATCCGTAAATAAAAGTAGTCGGCACTTTCCACTCCGATGCACTGTACATAAAAGAAAAGGACACGCGTAAATGATTCGCTCAAAGCAACTTTATTACAACAGACTTCCAACTATTCTTTGATGTTCAGTAAAGAGATTAGTATCATCAGACCTCTGTATAAGGGGACTCCTAGCAAATGCTCCGAAAGATAATATGTACTTTAAGCACAGCTCCCCACTAGCTTTGGCTGCTAAAGTATGGTACACATAATCTGCAATTGAAAAAAGCAACCATCAAGATCTTAAAAGTTGGATATGTGTGTTCTGTGCACAAATAAATTGACCTTAAATTACCTGTTAGAAGTCGGGATTCCTCTTCAGTTAGTGCGGTCCCTGTTGAATAAGAACCAAATCTGGCAGTAGTGTATCTCCGAACGAGATTTGGACCCAAAGGCCCCAGTCCTCTGCAAAAATAAGGTAAACATACACAAACATAAGATCTAAGGCAAGCACAACATGAACCACCTCGTTCTCTCTTTCATCTCTAATCCACCACTAATCTTTGGAAGAAATGGATTTCAAAGTGCACCAATGGCTCAAAATGCGCACGGTATGAATGAGAAAAAGTACTTCGTGTCCAAACTGACAATTTGAACAAAAGAACCACACAACTTGACAACATAATTTAAAAAAACAAACATAAACATGTGCATGCCTCCGTGCTTCCTCTGTCTATTCCTCTCAGGAGAAGGGTGAGAGAGGAGAGGAAGCATGGGAAATTAGTATGAGCGGAGGTGGGAAGCTCAAGTTGTTTCAAATAAATGCAAAAGAATAATATTTCCAAAGAATTAGTATTAGAGGTTCATAGAACATGTTGCAACCTGCATCTGTAAAGTGTGCAACTACCATATCAGAAACCTACAAAAATGATTGAAATGGATACTATGTACCATGCATGATATGATTTTGCAAATCGTATTGACATTTGTATGAGGACGGAAAATATGTATCTACCTGACTAACTTCTGTGGAGTAAAATTAGACTCCCACAAATAGTTGAAAATTGCTCCTTTCCATGTTGCTTTGAATTGGTTAATCCTCTCATACGATGCATCCGACTCCAATGAAAACCCGACAGGCCCCACTAAAATCAAATGCTTAACGTGCTCTGGATGCTATCATATAAAAAAAAATTACGACCATGAATACCAGACCTACCACCATTATCCCTAGATTCAACTAAATATATGGGATAGCAAATACCTTCAGAGCGTACTTTGATGCAACATACCCACCAACTGAATGCCCAAGTAATATAAAGTTGCTGAGGTTTTTGGCTTTTCGCCATTCCTCAAAGGAATCGATGAACCATGCCTCAGTTTCTGCATTACCAGTTGCTAGTTAATTACTCTGGAAAAGTTATACTGTCCATCTTAAAGATTAATAGTGAAAAAAACTCTTGACCACCGTCAAAGTGAGTTATAACTTGCGGCACAAAGATCAAAATATAACGCCATACCTTCAGTGCTTTTACATGTAAAATCAGGCCTGCTTGATCCGCCCCAACTGTAAATAACATTAAACCAAGGATTTGAGAACAAAATATATCACAGAAATACACCCCAAAAAGCACCATCTAACATGGAACTACAAAAGGTTAAAACTGTTTGGCATCAAACATGAAAGGGAAGTTGTGTGTCTTTAAAAAGTTTTCGACATCAGAAGGAAAAGAAACCAAGTGCACAGTAGAACTACAATGGAGAACACCAAAATAAAAGCCTGTGGACTCAGAGCTAGAAGAATTTGTATCCCAACAAAGCCTGTAGTAATTATTTAAGAAATGTTTCCGGAGCAGCAGACACCAAAAATAGAAAAGAAAAGAGTTTAATTTCCTTAAGAGAACCAAGACTAAGCATCTGGTACAAAAACACAAATACTTAAGCATCAGTTAGACTACTTAGAATTGTAAAATTATGTTCGTTCATCGCTGCGGTGTACATGTACAAGTTTTAACATTACAACTGAAAACAAAAGGATATCTTATTATCTTCACAAAGTAGTTAAGGTGAGTTGCACACCAAGGAATAACTTAAAGCATGTAAAAGTCAATAACTTCCAAGAGGGGTTAAAAAAACTAAGCAAACAGAGAATAAATTCAACAATCAACGTTAAGAATCTGCTCACCCTAGTTGATCAATGGCAAGGACCCTGAACCGACTGGCAAGGGCATCGAAATTTCTAAAGAAGAAACCTTGAGAAGCACCGTATCCGTGAATCATAACAATAGTAGGAGAATTCTCTTTGCTGTCAAATGAAACCGTGTTGATTTGCCTTTCTTCATTGCTTTCGGATCGAAACCACCTGACTTTAGAGCCCGGTGGTCCAGATCCTATATTCACCAGTTCTTGAACATAAGGAGTCCTGCGAAATTCAAGCAATTCCAATTATTTGTCAGAATTCAACCTTTTCAACCGTTCAGTAAATTGAAGAAATTTAAGAGTTGGGGTTTGAACACACAAAGTTGATAAGAAATTTGAGAAATTAGCCAACTTCAGCTCCAAATTAAGGTTCTTATTACAATTGTAATTCAGAAAAATCCTAAAAATTAGAACTTCATGACGGCACAAACTAACAAATTCGCTAGTTTCCGTTTCAGTATTTGCTCAACAAATTAACACAACTCTGCAATCAACCGAATTGAAGAGAGAGTGAGAGAGAGGTGGATTACTTGACAAGAGAGAGCAGGCGCTTCTCGGCGGCGATGATCTTATCGGTGGAAGTAGGGATCCAACGGAGGACAGAGGGCCAAAACGATTTGGACTTGGGATTAACCGCAGCAGCAACAGCATCGGATTCGTAGGCTGCAGCAACGGCGGCAGGGGAGGTTCGTTGCTCGGCGGACCTGCTAATTTCGCCGGCCATTCTCGACGAAATTCTACGCAGGTTCATACGCTTTCAAAACAATGGAAACTTTGATTTTTGGCTGCGACTAATAACGGACAGTTTATATATACGCCGACTCTTAGCCAATGTTTCGCGCTTTTTAGGCTCCGAAGGAAGGAGACAGAAGAGCTTCGTTTCTTCGAAGCTGATACTAGGGACACGTGTTAAATTCTGGATCAGTCGTCAGCATTGACGGTGATTCGAGTAAAGACGTTGGCGATGACGTAAATTTTAGCCTTGTGAGGCCCACATGAAACAGGAACGAAAGCCTCCGAGTTCACACACAATTTATTGTTTGGTGGTGCTATGCCAAACATCTATTTTAACCTCGCAAACACCTTTATCAATTTTTGACTATTGAATAAAATAAATTAAAGAACATCAAAATACGTAACTCTCTAAATTTTTTATTTTTATGTAATCTTAATAATTTTTCGGATAGAATTTTAAGTAACACATGTCGAGATGCAATTGGTTGTGCAAATTTTAGATAGGATTCTTATCTCCGTGACACTTCTTATTTTCAGCTTTCAATGTTGTAGGCATTTATAAGAAAAAAATTTCAACAATAACCTGACGTTAGCTAGCCGTTGCTAGCTAGTGTCATGCTGACTCCAAGTAGCCGTTGGCATTCAAATAGGTTGAGCTGGAGGGCTGGCAAAATGTCAAGCTTGACATTCTAGCGTTGGAGGGCTGGGCTTGAGGGCGGGCTGGTTGGAAAGGACCAGCCCACTAGCCCTTGGATGGATATGGTTTTCATGTCATTCTTAGCTATTTTTAGCCCTATGATCCTTTGGCTGGATTAGTTGAAGATGACCTAAAAATTAATCCAAGAAATTAGACATGAAAGAAACTTACCCATTATAATTCTTTCCGCGGGTATTACAAAGGGTAAGTTTATATCATCACTAAAGCCGTGAGCATGGTGAATTATTCAATTCAATGGTCTCTATGAGCCCTTGGGTCTACCCGAACACAGAGCTCCAAACTCACTCTACCATGTTCACACTGGGGTTCATTTGATCAGATAGAAACCCAACAATGCGTTCACCTCTGCATTGGATTTCTCAAATGATTTCACCTTCATAAACCAAACTACAAATACTCGACGGACCATGCCAATAAATCGGTATCGCAACACATAACTACTAACAAATCCAGAAGCAAAATAAGAACGAATGCACCAAACACAATGATACAGGCTATATAAACTTGAACAAATAAATGTTTAATTCGATTTCTCAATACAGCATATGGGATCGTGAAACACAACGCAAACTTATTCGGAAGTAAAACTAATAGCTAATTCTATTTCTAACACCTTTGGCACATAAATACTACCACAATCCACCTGGTAGAACACAACATCAATCACATCATACATGAATCTGCTGCATCGCACCTTCGAAACAAAACTATAACTTCTAACCAAAACAGTAAAGTAGTTCTTGATAAATAGCAGCAACTGAAAACGCCACCAAGCACACCTTCTAGTCAGCTCTTGACTGACCCGATCGGGAAGAGAGAATGATACCAACAATCAGACCGTACAGTGCCAGTGCTTCAGCAAAAATGAGAATGAGGATCATCCCAACGAAAAGCTTTGGCTGTTGTGCATTGGCTCTGCATAATTCCAAAATGACATTAGAGGAGGAAACTCTCAATCGAAACGCAACAAGATACCAAATACGAGTAACACGGCCGTAAAGACAATTCATGAATGCTCAGGAAAACTGACTGACAACCATAGCTTCTATATAAACACACTTCAAGATCTCTAACTGGTTTTCAGTTGCGATATTCATTTGATGGCCTTCAACCGTTGGAAAGTCAGCACTTATATGTCACAAATTCGATAATATAACACCAGGCATATGACAGAGCAAACTGCTATTACTAAGAACCAGTAAATACAAGCCCGGCACGCCACAGAAAACCCGGTTCTTAAACAATCAAATCGATGTTGTATTGCAATTTATACAAGCAGTGACAGATTAAAATAGCACAATGAGTACAAACATCCTAAACCAGATTGAAGCAATGCAAAATCGAGATAGAATCCGGAATTGCCGAGATAGAACGAGAGATGTTACCTAACACCGGCATCACCGACAATGCCAATAGCCATACCGGCAGATAGACCGGCAAGGCCGCAAGCTAGACCAGAGGAAAGATGAGCATAGCCATCGAAAAGGTAATAGGACTTAGCCTTGGGGTTGATACCGGTACTGATGATGACGGCGATAATGAGCCCGTAAATACCCAACACTCCCGCCATAACTACCGGCACGATCGACTTCATCACCAGCTCCGGCCTCATCACTCCCATCGACGCCACTCCTACTCCGCTCTTCGCCGTCCCATATGCAGCTCCCATACCTGCAAAACACACAAAATGGGATCAAAACCCCTATATCCGCCGGGACCAAACCCTAGGTGCTTAGATCTGGGCCGAATGGGAACATACAGGAGAAGACGAGGGCCGCGGCGGCGCCGAGGAACCCGAAGAACGGTGCCGTTTCATCGCCACTGAAGGTTGAAGAAGACATTCTCCTCGATTTATGGACAGATATTCTTTGATCGGATCTGGCTTTTGATGGATTTGTTTTCTCCTCTCCTCTCCTCTCCGCCAAAACCCCTTTAAGCGTTTATGCGTGTTTCGATCTCAGCCTCAGAAAGTAAGACTCTGTAATTTGGGCCTTATGTTAGCTTGAGGCCCAATCTGGGAATGGTTAGTTGGGGCCAACCCAGCCCATCGAATGGAAACACGGACACGGTTTTGCAGGATTCGAAATCCTTAACCCGGTTTTGTTATTCCCACAAATTAGACTAGTTTTAATTAAAATATCGCCTTTTAAAAAAAAAAACCAATTAAAAATGATTTAATTTTGATACTTGATTGCATAAATAATCATTTTTGCTAATTTCCCAAAAGTGGTTATGTTGTCGATGTTAAAAAATAATTATTTATACAACCAAATGTAAAAAGATGATCATTCCTACTAATTGCTCCCCCCTCCCATGAAAACTGAACTTCGTTAAATGAAAAATAATTTATGCACACCGTTTTTCGTCTTTTGCTTTTGTGAACCCTCTCTTTTAATTATGACCCTTGAATCTCTTAGGGGAATAAAAAACAAAAGGGCATGCGTGCAGAGATGAAAAAAAGTGCGCAGAAATCATTGGCCCTTTCAAATCCATGGGACTTTTACAAGACTATTCATCTATTGCTAATTACAATGCTATTGGAAGACGACTCCATTCTAGCACAACTTACATGATGCACTATAGCGGGAGGTGGGACCAACACCAAGATGGGTAAATGCATGCGGGTCCCACCGCCCATGAGAGGGTTGTCGCAGAAGACAACCCAACCCACGAATCAATCTAGACTCTGGAGGAGCAAGAAAGGGCTTTATTACAGACGGTAACACATAATTCATCTCGAAATCATTGAACACGGACACTGCATATGAAACGACAAATTTCAAATGCTCGGTATCATTTGAACCTCACCCGAAATGAAAGGGAAAGAGAATACTTATATATTATATCTCCATTACTCGGGTAACACTAATCGCTCAAATGGAATAGATACCATTACTAACTTTCAAGAAAAATTGGGTTGATGTCAAGCAAGAAAAAAGCTCATGTCAATTTTCAAAGCAACAAAGCGTGAAACACAACGTATGGAGGCATACTTCCAGCACCGCCATGTAAGATAATAGGAATCCCAACTGAGAGGAAGTAAATACAAATGTCGGGCAAAAAAACACATAACATGTTAAACAAACACATCTATTAGACTATTTCATCTCCAATCCATGGCATCTGCCAACAGTTCGGCATATTGAACAAAAATCAGGCAAGGGTTGATCAAAGAAATCTTCAAAATATATTAGCATCAACAAATGTGGGGATACAGAGGCTAGAGCGCATACCTCTTGCTTCTTCTGAACAGCCAAAAACATCTATCCCGGCCTAGCAAGAATCAAACAGAGGCGTAATCAGAGACTAAAAAAACAATAGAATGAGTGAAAATGCTTTTCAATATGACAGATAAAACCTGGCATTTCATCATGCAGTCCAACCATAATCGAAACTAAAACTGCATACAGCTTCTGTATGCATAGTTTTAGATATATAACAGAACATCTATAACAAATTATACCTGCGGTTATTTTCTGGATTTCAAATGATAACTATTTTGGAAGCTGGAACAAGAAGTTGAAACTATTAGCGCATACATCATACATGAATAGAAAAGCCTCCCGACCCAAGGCAAATAATCAGAGAGGAAAAAAGTTCAGAAAGCAGATATTTCATCCCTCGGAGTCTTCTAATAGAGAAATATGCAACTCCTTCATTCAATTTAATTGTGAGCAAATGTGAAGTTAGTGATTCTGTAAAACCAAAAGCGTAACCATAACATATTAAAGTACTTTGGCCAGCATGGAAAAATGTTCTGTATTCTTGTTGAGCTAACACAATCCTACTCTGTACACATTGGAAAAATGATAAAAGAAAAAAAAGTCAGGAATTAGTTTGTCCTCGTTGAGGATCCCTGAATGAAAAATAGGGTCTTAATTTTTCAGCCCTAGAAATACATCCTTGATGGACGACAAGCCAACTTCTAAATGCAATCTACTATCATCTCCATACCAAGTTGATGCACGTAACTGAAATGGACACAGCAACCTGCTTTGAGCAAATTCGTTAACTTAGATTTGTATCCAAAATGGTTTGTCCCCGTTGCACTGACCAACGATAATTGCATTGACCAACGATAATTGCATTCCATGATGCCCGGATTGACAGGCAACAAACCCCATGCCTTTCTTCCATTGCTCCTTCCAAATCACAAAAGTGCTTGTTGGCAGTTTCATTAAGATCTAATTTGATTCTATCTGTGCGCCACCACTTCCAGCTTATGCTGTAAATTCATCCGGGAACAACAGACTTACGCATGTACTGTACAGAAGTCATGCACAAACACAGGTCCATTAACCCAAGGGACCATCAAGATTTCACTGTGGGTTTTGCTGCCATGTGCCTCTCAATCAATTTATCCACAAAAGCACGGATCTGCAGTTTTTAAATCATTGAAAAGGAACTTGGTAAGAAGAAACTAATGTCACTGCATCATATATTATATTTCTTAATGAAAAAACTTCTGTTCATTTCCTGGCTCAAATTGATGTACAGTAAAAAAAACTTTCAGGATAGCATGTACAAAAATTTCAAGTTGCCAACAATTTTGTATTCTCTTTGCTCATTCAGGTGAAGAAAGCCGTTGGAAAATATTTCAAAAATCAGCCAGGAAATCACTTTAATGACTTAAAAAAAAAAAACTCATTAAAGTAAGCATGGAAAGACAAATATGACTTGTTATAACAAAATAATGGAAGAATACCTTGTTCCTGCGCTTGAAATCAAGAAACTCATAAACAGCCATGGCTTTTTCTGAGTCTGTGGCGAGCTCCATGACCTGAAAATTGAATTCCCCAAAAATTTAAGACTGTAAATAAAAACAATAAGAATAGTTGCAAAACTGAGTTCAACAAAATTGCAACAAAATTTGACTGGAAACCATGGTATATTTTCTGTTTAGTATGGCAGGAAGGAAAAATGAAAAATGACTAACTTTGGTAGCACTTTTCTTCATGATTGACTTGTATCCCTCTCTATCTATCTTTTTAGCTTTATAAAGGGGCATAAGCAATGATGCCACATAATCGACAACAGCCTGCTTAATATTATCTGCTCCTCGATGATGATTTTTTAACGACTCCTTGTTCACGGTAACTTGGGAAACAGAGCCCTCATTTACATGTCCTTCATGCTTCCAGCTGTGTTTTCTTGAAGTTGTATTTGAACCTTCCTCATCATGTATATACGGTTCTGGATGGAAGAAATCAGGGTCTACTGCAGCTGCTTGAGATTGCCACATCTCAATGGCATGATAATCCTTTATCCCGGCACTACCAGCTGTATCGACCCATGCTCTTGTATAAATACTGCTGTCGACAGCAGCACTCTCTCCTGAGTGCTCTCGGATATTTGTTTGACTACCAGTCTCATTTGGATTGCTCCGCTGGGAGAGGTTATCGACTGACATTCTTGAACTATCAATATTGACGCAAGTGGCAGAGAAATCAACAGACCAGTCCCTAACTTTGCAGTTTCTTGAGTCTATTTCTGATATACAATCTTGTCTACCCAAATCACCACCTGACCACTTCCTCCTAAAATCATACTCATCCATTTGAGGGTACTGCTCCCGTCGAGCAAACTTATGAAATGAGGGAATCTTGGGAAGCTGAAGCAGAGTACCACTCTTGGCTTCTGAAGATGCATATGCCTACAATGAACAACGATAACTAAATTCCTGTAGAACAAAAGGGCACAAATAGGAAGGGGATAGGCAGTACTATATCACACTAAATTGAGTAGAGTCAAGGGAAATAAACCTCGGCAGCTGCAAGTGCTGCTGCACGGGCTGCTTCAGCAGCAGCAATGGCAGCTTGTTCTGCTTCTGTCACAGCAACGTCATTCTCCTTTAGCTCAGAATGTGGTCTACCAGTTGAACCTCGAAACCTTGATGAATTAATCTCTGATTTTGAGGAATTTGCTGTTTCACCCTTAATGGGTTTGCCATTCACTTTCTTACCATTTGCATTCAAAGGCAAATGGCTTGCGGTCGATGCTGAATCCTGTAAGCTTCCTTTGTGCTCTAAATCACCATGAAATGTGTGTAGAGGCGGCTTACCAGAAGATGGATCTTTAATTGGTTTTCTCCTCAATGCATCTGCAGCAGTTGCTTGCCTTGACAACTTCAACGCACCATTGGAAGCTTTTTCCTTGCGGAAAACTTCAAGCCACACATTAACCAGCTGACTTGCTATGGCACGTATATCACGGCTTGTATGTACACAAACTTTTTCTCGTACAGTTTTCCCAATGCCTGCACCAACAAACAAGAGATTAACTAATTTTGAAGAAATACATTCTAATGATTATGATACCCATTAATGCACATAGGAATGCCAGTAGATAAAGATCGAGAAATAAAGAGAAAATACCAGACAAGCGCACAGCCAGTAGGTCCGTTGAAACAAGCACAAGAAGCCGAACACAATGCCGCAAGAGTTGAGTCCCAGCCTTCCCCATCGAGTCCTGTTGTAGTAAGGAAATTTATACCCTCAGAAAAACAAAATCTCCAAGAAAGCAAACATTGGATGCTATCAACAACAAAATATGTGTGAGTCAACATATTGTGAATTCATATTTGATTGAATGATGATAAATATGGATGCAGAATTACCAGTATCCACGAGTTGAGAGTAGTCAGCCCTTCTTTGGTGCCAGCAAAGGACTTCAAGGTTTCAACAGGAAGACTCAATAACTCTTTGGCCAGATGCAACCTTCCTTTGGTAGTCTTTGCATTAAAGAACATGTCCTGGAGTAGGGCCTCCTTGTTCATGTAAAGGACATCTGAAAGTTCAACTGCATCAAGTCTCCTTGTTATGTCTCTAACTTCAGCCCTTTCAGAATCTGATTGTCTCTGAATACCTGCAATGGCGTCTGCTTCTGCTGTATAATCATTTCCAGTAGTCAGTATGTCAATTATACGCACTGCCTCCCGGAGGCCACTCATCATCGCACCACCAACAGTGTCAGGATGCTCCTTGCAGGTAGCTTCACCAGCAAAAAATAGGCAGTTCTCAACAGGTCTCCCTAGTATATCATAATCTTCCCCCGAAGCTCCAACAGCAACATATGAGTAGGCACCGTAGCTGAAAGGATCCTTACCCCAATCTGTCACAACTGATGCAACAGGATCAGGTACTGAAGCCTCTCCAAACAATTTACGAAGAACCACTATCGCATGGTTAACATGTTCAGAAGAGCTCATATTTTGCCCATCTATAGCTGCCTTACCAACCACTAAGGCTATGAGAACAGGAGCCCCGACGGTTTTCTTGACATTCCAGAACATAAAGCACTGGCCCCTCAGTTCTGTTTCCTCAGCAGTTGCTCCAAAGTAATCCACAGAATCATCCCAAAAGACATCTGGAAATTCCAAAACTACTTTATTAAGAACTCCAAACCCAAGCCGCAGAATGGAAGAATGTTTCCAGTGGGGCAATGGTGGGGAAAATTTGATGGTTTCTGCTTTTAAGCACCCAAGAGGCACTGTAATCAAAATCGCATCTCCTGAAAAATCGCTGCCATTAGATGTGGAAACCTTGACTTTGTTACACCGGTTAGTGTTCAATCCAGCGTCTTTGGTGACATATGAAATATCAGTGACTACATGATTCAAGTGAATGTGAAGTCCTTCTCCAAGAGACTCGACAACAGTGCTGTAACCCCCTTTAATCATGCAGTGAGCTCCTCCAAAGCCACCATAAACATCATCCTGGTTCCAGTTGGGGAGAGAGACCTCCTTCAGCGGAGCAGCACAACCATATTCCAAATTGGCAAAATGCCAATCCATGACCCTCCTCTCAAGAGGGCTCAAAGCTCTAGCTTTTGACAACTTTTCTTAGCTCTATCAATATTTTTTTTGGCATCAATGAAACCATCCATTAAATCATGCAGTTCTTTTTCTTCAACACTAGTTGATGTTTTTGCCATACGACGCCTCTTGAGGGCATGTTCCAAACCTTTCTCGAGAGACATTCTTGTCTGTTCTCCCTCCTGTGCAACAAGCAATACCATGTCATCAAGAAGGCTGTTGAACTCTGCTTCCAATGCTTCATCCAGATCTGCAGGAACCTTCACCTGTTGCAATGTCATAAAGAGGGCAATCACTGTTTAAGACAGTCAACTCAAGGCCCAGCTGTGCACAAACCAAAGAGGAGGGGTCTGGTCGTCTTTCAGTCGCCCAATCAGCCTCAACACCAGTTATAATGCTAGCACCAAGATCCACAGGAACTGATAGAGATGACCTGTCTGTATAAACACGGCCCCCTATCCTACTCCTAGCTTCCAATATAGTGACTGAAAAGCCCTGACGTTGCAAGTGGCGTGCAGCAGTTAATCCAGCAGGACCAGCACCTATGACAATGATTTTCTTTTTCACTTCCAGACCGCATTGCGGATTATTATTCCTCACTGCATGATCTTGTGATGCACACTGAGTACTGTGTGATACATTCTTTAACTCTGGAGTTTCAAGAGGGATGCCTCCATCACCCAATGTCTCACTAATTGGATCACTACTTGAAACATCCATATTGTCCAATTTACTTTGTAACCTTGCATCAACACTGGTGTTTTCCGGATGATCAGCCTCACACTCAGCATGGTTTTTTGTATTGGACAATTCCAACGCCGCTGTGGTTACAAGCCCGTTGTCTTTTGTGACTTCATGAGTCGAGTTGTCGCTTTTAATTATGACACCACTCTTCGCATCAGTTTTAGTTCTAGAACTCTTAACCTGGCCTGTGATAAAGGAAACTCCATCCTCTGAATCAGCAACTGAAACCCCAAAAATTTCCTCAAAATTTTTTTCTCTCAGAATTTATAGTCATGCTTGGGACCAGATTCTGCTTTATCCTTCTCACGAGCAATTCCAATATTTATATAGCCCTGTCCAAGTTTTCATACATTGAAAAGATGAGACAAGCTAATAATGCAATCCTTCCCTAGGAAATGCAAGAATGAAAAGACACTAGGAAAAGAAGAAGAAGAAGACTGATCAATATTGAACTGGCACATATAAAAATCCATAAAAGGCTCTATAGACTTACACTGAGATCGAGGAATGTATAAATATCCCTAATTAGGGAAGCACGAGGTGGTTCATCCGCACAAGCAGTATATGTTACCCCACAGTCAGCGAGAGGCAAAATTCGACTAACATCTTTATTCCACAGAGCAAGGATCTGATTCCTGTATTGCACCAAGCAGTGATTAACTAAACTAGGTAGAGCTTATCAGGCAAAACAATTAAACCAAAAGAAAAAAAATTTGAACTACATTGAAAAATTGATATAATATTTTCATTCAAAAGAAGAGAAGACCACACCTCAAAACTTAGACACAACCACTTAAAGAAGAGAAAAAAAAATCTAAACCAAAATGCCAATAATAAAAACATAAATATACCATCAATTTTATTAATGTCAACTTAAGTAAAGCAGCATCAAAATTTAAAAAGACCCTCCAAACAGAACTTAGCATTAGTAGGATGCGACAGAAAACCAAAACATTTGAATAATTAGTAAGAATTGTCAAGTAAAATGGATAAAGTAACAGCTATAATTAGTATCAAGTACAAATTTCTGAAAGATTGCAATTCGTACAAGAAACCCCTATTATATGCAGGTTTCAGAATTAACTACTAACCTGCATTCCAAATAGTCCTGAACCCCACCTCTGCGCTTCAAGATCTCCTTGAATTTGATCTTCTCAACAGGACCAACTGCATGAGCTTTAAGACCAGCAGACACTGCTGCAGCCTCACCACTTTCAGACTCTGTACCGATACTTGAAGAGGAATCAAACTTCACTCTCAAATTGTCACTGTTCAAACTTTGATCATTTATCAATACCTCCCAATCAGCATCCCCCTCATAAGCCATGTCTCCATGCCTACGCTTTCTAACAATGCGCCCCACACGCTGGACAGCTGATAGCTTAGTGTTTTTGTTTTCAACATCTGGTAGAGATACTGTGTCTTCTGGGAAACTCTCATTTTCATCAGCCTCTTCACTAGTGATAAGATGATCATGATTTGGAACATCATTTTCATCCCGCAAAGGACCAGAAGCAAGGCCAAGATTCTTAGTGTAAGAAATTAGACCATTACAATTACCTCCCATAGAGCAGTTCTTCAATCCATCCTCAAAAGTTTGCATTTGCTGTGTCAAATGTTTTTTGTCTCCATCATTAACTTCATCTGAGCTGCATGGTCCCTCTTGAAAATTTGAACCAGAAGGATCCACTATGGCTTCATTTTTAATCAATTTGGAATCAAATCCTGAATGTGAGTAGAGAGGAACTCGATCTTCTGAAACGACTTTGTAGGGCCTTTTATGCTTTTTATCATTGAATGTCTCTTGATTTTCCCTGTGACGGTTAGAGGCTCTGTCATCAAAACTTTGACTTTCATCTTCCTTACACTGATCAGAGGCTGAATCCAATTGATTTGAACCAGCCAAAGGCATGGTGTTCAACCCATCCTCCAAAACCTTAGAACCACTCTTCTCTTTGGGAATTGAAGAGGCACGAGAATTCATAATCAAACCAGATTGTGACTTCCGGGAAAATGCTGATAATGAATCTTCCGGATGATGATCCAAAAGGCAATTAGAACCTTCCCCAAATCCCAGAGACCCTGAAATCTTGGGTCTCTTTCCCTTTCCATTAAGCTTGTTTTCTACCTCTATATTGATAGTCACATCAGATCCATCATCACCCATAACAGGATCTTTCTCTAAAACCCTTGACGCTGATTTTCCATCCAAACCCCTGTCGTCCACATGCTCATTAGAGGACTGATCCACAGACTGTACACCATCCAAAGCAAAACTCCTTCCCCTCATAGTTCCAGTCCCATAATCTTTCTTGGGACCCTTCAACTTCTTCCTCAAACTAGCCAAAGTATCATCCAGGCCCCCCAAATTCTCTTCTTCATCGTCAACCATCTTGCCCCTTTCACCGCCACCCTTAACCTTCTTAAGGTTTCTCTGCCTCTTCAACTTCAAAAGTGACCCAATTGGCTCATCATCCTCAGAATCAACCATATTCGCCTTGACAAACTTCGATCGTATCTGAAGGCCGGACTTCTTCTCCTCCCCATCCATTTTGTCAACCATATCTTTTTACGAAAACGGAGTCCTTCATAACCCTAATCCAGCTTCAGTGCCCAAATCAGGGTAACCAATCATCACCTTCCACTTCTCTATTGGTAAAAAATTAAAGTTCATGATTCACATGCACCCCGCCCTTGAGCAATTCAGCTACAATCATCATAAATTGAAACCACACCTAGAAATCCGAACACGCATCAAATCGCAGACAATCACAAACATTCACAATTCTAAAACTTGCAAAATTCAAATCCTCGATAAGCTTCTGCCAACGAGTAAGCTCCTCTCCGCCCCTGCCAATGGCCTCCCTCTACTCTAAGACCTCAATCGAGAAATTCTACCATTGAAAAATACAGAAGAGAAAAAAAATAAAGAATTAAAAAAATATAAAATCTACCTAGGGTTTTTCATCCAGCTACTAAGCCCTAATGAGAGGAAAATAGAGGGGTGGCGGAGGTCAGACCTGCGTGCGGCGGAGCTCTGCCGCGGCGTCGTTAATGGATTCGTCGAAGGGAGTGAAGTGCGCACGTTAGCGTCGCGTAGGAAAATTGGGAAGGTCTGCTGTATAAAGTGCGCCGCGGGAGAAATTAAACAGCGTGGAAATAAAAAGAAAAGGAACATAAAAAAAGGGAACGTATTGGGGAGGAATTTTTGGCCCGACACGATTTGTACGAGAAATGAGTGTGTGTGTGGGAGCAGACAACCACGGATGGCAGCACCTAATTATGATTCTTTTCTAAACAATTATTATTTAGTAATTTAATTGCCATTTTGGAAGGGAAAACACACTATACAAGTATCTTTGATAGTTTAATAACGTTAACGTCAATGGTCTATTTGTGAGTATTTGGTAACGTGAGAGCACATGAAATCGTTATTAGATTAACATATAAATAACTTAACTCTAATTAGAACATTAGGTCTGCTACGTGAATAACTTAGCTTTAATATAATATCATAACGATATCATCTAACTCAAAATTAATTGTTGATTCATAAGTGAAGAGATTCAAAATCTTTTAAACGCTCATGTTTGACTCTCATGTTTTGACATGTGATGCTCCCTCAATAGTACAAAATACTTCATCATAATTCAAGTATTTCTTAACATACATTTTTATAGTGCCAAACTTTTAATAAATGAACTTTAGCGAAAAGTTTCCGGTACTGTTCATTTTAACAAAAAACCATATTTTTACACTAAAAAGTCAATCTTAGTACTATTCACTTTACCATTTGTTTTGTCATTATTGTTAAAACTCAAAGTTTTCAAACACTTTTCATTAATTTTCCTACTTTTTTTAATTGATATTAGTCATGTAATTTCATGTCTATAAAGGGTGGAAATGTGAAAATTTGCATGCTCAAATTTCTTACCTTCTAAAAGATATATTTTCATATAAGTGTTGTGGTGAATTCATATACTATTTAAAAGATTGGGTTAGAATTTTGATTGTGAAAATGAATTTATATATGTTTTGACGCTGGTAGTGAGAGTAGCTAATTTCCTCCTAAATTTTTTGTTAAAACAAAAGAATTTATATTCTCTTGCTTAAATTGGAAAGGGAAAAGATTCTATGACGTCAATTTGAAAGTGATTACAAAATTGTTAACCCAAAAAAGAAAAGTGGTTATAAAACTATCTAAATACCCAATAAAGAATCGACTACGTGAGTAGCCCCTAAACTATTTATTTTCTTAATTGTTACATAAGGGGTCGTATTTAATCAAAATTTTAAATGAATCCGTAAAGGTTCATGGGTATTCAATAAAAATTTTAAAGGAGTTCAAAACTCCGTAAAAATTTGGATACATTCATTTCAATTTTATAAGTAATCTATAAAATTAGGGGTGGGCATGAGCCGGACCGATTAAAATTGGAGGAACCGGACATTATATGGTGTTGGATCTCATGGGGAACGGGACGGCCCATCTTCTAATAATAGTAAAAAAGCCCACAAACGGCAAGCTATGATTTGTCGTTCATACTTCATAGAATTCCAACTTCTGGAACTAGTGCGTTCCTCTTCTTCCTTCTACTGAACAGAGGACGACTGGCGCTGCCCAACCCAAGTTTACAGGTATGCTGATATATTGGGATAATTTCAAATTTATGAAGGTGTTTAATTTGGTTTGAAAATTCAAATGAATTGATGTTTATGGTCATCGCTTTCACTCCTCAGCAGTCAGCTTCTCCACCGTGCGCCGGACTTGGGAAAGCAGTTCCGATGAGCAGCAAGCAGAGACGGCCGCCGGACCCAGTGGCGGTTCTGAGGGGCCACCGCGCCTCCGTCATGGACCTCTCTTTTCATCCTTCCCAACCACTCCTGTTCACCGGGTACGATTCAGTACACTTATGCAACCTACCCTTTTGTTATCATTTCTCAAAAATTAAAAATTTGGTGCCTTTTTTTTGTTCTAGTTCATCAGATGGCGAACTGAGGATTTGGGATACTATCCAGCATCGGACTGTATCATCAGCTGGGTAATTTAAATACCAATTTTCCATTTTATTTTTATGATTATAAAGTTCATATCTTTTTTTTTTTTGGAATGAAAAGTAAAAATTTATTTGCAACTTTTCAGGGTGCATAATGCAGCACATGGTATTGCTTCTGTTTCTTGTACTGCCAACAGAGTTATCAGGTGTTTTTCTTTTCATTTTTTCTACTTTTATTTGTTTATTGGCTACACACACACACACACACACACTTTCTGTATTAGTAGTAGAATTGAATTTGAAAATGTTGGTGTAGCCAGGGCAGGGATGGGACGGTTAAATGTTGGGATATTGAAGGTGGAGGTCTGCCCAGGTTCTTAGCTAATTCCCATAATTGTAGCCTATAGTTATTCGGTTTCCATTGTACACTGCTTCATTTGTTATTTTTTATCATGGCATGTGCCTCATTACTTTTGAACCTTGATATCGCCTTGGTAGGACTCCGTCTGTTACAATCAAGACAAACTCTTACCACTTTTGTAAACTTTCCTTGGTGAAGAGGCCTCAATCTTGTTCTACACGAGTGGACGGGGTTAAGTGTCAGGATGGAGAGGACAGAAGGGTTAGGGGGACCACTGATGAAGATACTCTAGATGACAGTAGAGACAACGTTGAAGGGAATCTGCCTGAGCATCCCAGCGCCTTTGAAGGTTTATTTAAATTTGAAACTGATATTCCGGTCAGGATTGTTTTCTGTGCACTTTAGCTACGTTCTCGCAGGAGATGAAGGCTTAGACTTTAGATATATCTATTAGTACTGTATTTTCAATTTGTTTTCTCTTTATTGCTCTGTGATAGTTCAGAAACAAGAATGTTGATAGACAGTTTTTGAAAACAGAAAATACTCAAGATGAATTATCTAAATATGTCACTGTAGCAGGGGAGCAGACTTCTGAGGTTTGTATCTAACCTTGAGTATGTCTAGTTTGATTTCATTTTTGAAGCCCCGATTACTCACTACCTTCATGTGGTTTGCAAAGGTTGAGATTTGGGATCTTAATACTACAGAAAGGTTTGCACGGCTTCCTCAAAGCTGCTTTGGTGGTTCCCCGGGTATTTCTTCCAAGGAGAGAGGTCCCATTCTAATTCATTCAACATTTTGCTTACTAGTTTTCGGGTTTGATTGTGTTTCAGTTTATACCAGATGGTTTTGGGCTATCACTTTTCTGTTCATCCTTTCGTGTTGATTTCATCTGCTTTTGACATATAGCCTTTGGTTCTTGGCAGGAATGTGCATGGCTATTCAAGCATTCTCACCATCTGAATCACAGGGATTCCTAAATGTCTTGGTTGGGTATATTCTTTTCACTTCTCATTTTCTATGTTTTATGAAGCCGAGTACCTCATCAAAATTTTGATGGAAATGTAGCTCATCCGTGTGTCTGTGGTTTTAATGATGTTTGACTTCATAATCTTCATCTACTCGTAGTAGAATCTCTTTTGTTTGTTCTGTGTGTCTGTTGTCAGACTCTATGAAGACCGCTCAAATTTGTTTTTCCTTATCTTCTTTCAAACCAATGTGCTTTTTCCTCATCTTCTTTCAAACCAATGTGCTTTTTCCTCATCTTCTTTCAAACCAATGTGCTTATGAAGGGTTGGTCAGAAGTCATTTTTCATGAGTTTCTTGACTAGTTGTTTGTAGGAATCTTAAAGCTCTACAGGGTGTATGTAGTTCATTCGGTCAGAAGCATTTGATAACCCGGTTTGTGAGTTGTTGATGCACAATGTGAGAATGAGATGTGTGTATCATACATGAGTTATCCTTTCCCTTCTAACTTAGGGGGTACTGAATCGAGATGTGTATATAACAGGTCTTAAAGGTTGTTTATACAATGTGAGCATGCACCCATATTGATACATGTTATAATCACTGAAGAAGGATTATTCTGCATTTGGTTTCTGGAATTGAAATGTGAGGTCAAAATTTTTTTCGCCATTTTGATATGTGTTTTCTGATTTTGTTTCTTTGTTCTACATGGTACAGTTATGAGGATGGTTCCATGCTTTGGTGGGATATTAGAAATCCGGGGGTTCCAATGACCTCTGTCAGGTTTCATTCAGAACCAGGTGAGAGACCTAGAATCCAAAGAACCGCATGCATTTTTATTACTCTTTCTTATTTTATCCTTTGAAATAAGTCATGTTCTTCATGCATCTTTATCTGCAGTTCTAAGTCTATGCGTGGATGGGTCATGCAATGGTGGTATCTCAGGAGCTGCAGATGAGAAAGTTGTGCTGTATAGTTTGGATCCTTCAATGGTAACTTAGTCATGTCTGTAAGTTTGTAGGACTAGATGTTTTACAGCTCCTCCCTCTGAACCTTAGAGTTGTTTCCCAGGTGTTTATCAATGAAAATGTTACCTTTTCATAAATAAAAAAATCTTTAACTGCGGTATGTATGTTCATGTAAACACGAGAGTATTGTTCACCATATTATTGTGAGGTTTTTAATACATACTTAATTGCAGTTAATGTGTAAGCTGAAAGATTTCAAATATAGGAAGAATTGGCTGTGAAAGTAGCTGACTAGCTACAGAAGGCAACCAAGTCAAATATACATGCTCTGATTTTGTGCCTGTTGCTTGTTTACTCTAATTGAAATTCAAGCATACTTCATCTTTTTTTGCCTTAATGTTGTGCTGTCTAACCCAGGGTACGTGTGTGATCAAGAAAGAAATTATTTTGGAACGACCTGGAATTTCAAGCACTTCCATTCGACCTGATGGTAAAATTTTTGCAACCGCTGGCTGGGACCACAGGTTTGGGAACAGAACTTTCATTTTGAGATTTGAAGTATATCTTGTAATTCATTCATAGCAATTCTGCATTCTTACGTCTTTTCTCTTTGCCCTTTATTCATTTTACATCTTGATGCCAGAGTGAGGGTGTATAACTATCGTAAAGGAAATGCTTTGGCGATATTGAAGTATCACCATGCAACGGTATGATGTTCCTAGTAACACAAGAAATTAGATACATAAAGATTCTCATTTTCGGGATTTTGCAGTTATTTCTCTAATTCGAGCTCTGATGTTACAAAAAGAAGAAATATTGTCGAGTACTTGATTGGTACATGGTCTGTTTGGTCACCTGTTTTGTTTCTCTGAAACCACCACTCTATCTGCCTTGGGCGTTTTTCTCACCAGCGAGGGCCTGATTATGC